TGCCTACATCATAAATGTGCTCACTGAGTCCAATATGAAGGCTGCATGATTAGGCCCATGTCATTTTAGCCTTATTTGTGGAGAAGGCAATCCTGCAACTATACATTTTATGAGGGCATAGTTATAAACAATGTCAATTCTAAATAAATGTATATTTTATTCTGTACTGAAAAGTATCAATACAAACAATTATGAGTAATTAAGTTTTTTTTTCACATTGTGTTTTATGCATTTATTATGTACACATGCTAATAACAGAATAGTGCTGTTAGCTTAGCAACATGCTAATGTCAAACTACTGAAATCAATATGATTTGTGTGAGAAGCCATTTTTGTATGGAGTTGCTGCCTGTTTACAGTGTTTCAAATGGGTCATGTGACCTTAAAAGACAGCTGCCTATGTGGGCAGCAGGTACCGGTTTAGCTGATTCTGATTCTGAATTACATTTTGTGTTGTAACCGTATTAAATTCCCATGACCCACATGGATACGCAGAATGAGCAAAATTCTCAATGACCCTCACTCGAAAATGTCTCAACAGTGTAAAGTCATCAGTTCACAGACTTTAAATGCATAATTGTCTAAAATAAACAACTGAGACATTAGAGATTTCTCATTTGTGATTTTTCTTTTCTTATTCATGATTCTCATGGAATGAAACAACTATTCCATTCATGTGGAATAGTTGTTGTAATAAGTTAAAACAAGCCACGTCTATTTTTCAGTTTAAAAAAATTTACAAGAGAATAACATTGGAAAAATATACCATAGAATAAAAATGAATTTTGAATTCAATGGTGCACTAATGTGTTAATGTTAATTTTATGAACAGATGTTGTCATTAATGAGTTACATTTGATTCTAAAGTTAAGGGCAGGCATAATAAGCTTTAGCTTCCGCCTGCACCTGGTCATTATGTTTCGAATGTTTTGATGATTTGATTGATTGATTGAATGATCTGTAAATGACCAAACCGAATAAATGAATGAAAAAAAAAATGAATTCTTTGCACATTCAGGCAGAAAAAGGCGTTCAAGTTTTTTTTTTTTTTTTTCCAAGTTCTCTTTTGTTTTATTTTACAGGCCACAAGATGAGCAGATACATCATTTAAAAAAAAAAAAAAAGAAATAAAACTGATATTTGCTTGTCAAAAAATATTATACAATTTTCTCAATACAGATTTTTGTACAGCATGAAACAGAAATGAACTGTATTAGAATCATGATCTAGTAATATAGATGAACGAGATACAGGAGCTCCATACCGTCATCCACGAGCCCAACTTTATATCCAATAAATATAAACTGTGCATATTATATTACGAATAGCCAGGCATTGTAAATACCAGGGCACAATTTCAATTCATTTTCAGATCATATCAGGTACGTCACTGTGCTCCACACACACACACACACACACTCACACACACGTATGAAGCTGAGCATTGAAGCAGACGTGGACAGCAATCAAAATCACAGTTGGATAACAACAGATTCCTGGCCACCTCGAAAAGAACATAAAGATGGGAATGAAACCGGATGAAGACAGGACCCATTGTCCTTGGCTGAAAAGAGAGACAGTGAGAAAGAGGGATGGCTATCTGATCGGCTGTGTGAGAAACACTGTAGAGAGCCACTTGACATTTGGCCTGATTCAAACAGCTCTCACACACACACACACACACACCATCTCTACCTTTTTCTTTCAAGCAACCAGTGCCGTCTTTTTCAACTCACTCTGTGTCAGCTTCCTTTATCTTTTTTAACCGCCCTCTCTATTTCTCTCTCCACGTACTGTATGTTTTTCCTCATCAAAATTTAAGCAGAACAAAAAGTCATGAATCTGTGGAGAAAGCACCTGGCAGGATACGCAATATCAATAATGGTAGACAAAAGCAAATAAAGAGTGGAAAAAATAACCTGAAACACTAAATAGAAACACAATAGAAATATCAAAGACCTAATAAGAGTCCTTCCACAAAACAGCAATTGTTGGAGTTCTGAAGGAACAGACTTTTACTTTTACTCCAATTATTTAATAATGAAGGAGATCCAGAACTTTGCGAATCGGCCATGGAGAGGGACTTGACAGCACTCTTGAATTTGTTTAGTATGCTAGTGTGCATGGAGCAATTATAATCCCGTAATTATGAAAAACTGCAATGTGATCAGTGCTTAGAGTCTAATTCGAGAGAGGTGCTGTTTCAATTTGTGATGCTGTACTTTATACATTTTCTATCCTCACACTCTAAAAATGCTGGATTGTTTTATGGGTCAAATATGAACAAACCCAAATGTTGCACTGAAAAAAAAATGATTTTTTGGTAAGGTAAATACTACTGAAAAAACCCCAATGTAATTTACAAGAAAAAGTTAGTTCAGGCAAGAAGTAAATTCAATATCAGTACTTAGTTCAAGCGAGTAGAAATGAAAGCATAAATATGAACTCAATAAAATAAAGTAAAAATTACTCAACTTTTCTAATCATGCACTGGACCTTGAATAATTAATGAGGTTCATTTTTTCACTGGTTTCCAGCTGTATTTACACTGTTTTATCATTGCTTTTGTTGTCAGGATTAGTAAGTTGCCATTTTGTGACATTTTGAGGAAATTTTCTGCTCAAAATGACACATTCAAACACAAAAACGATCCATTAAATGATACCGTCATTGTTTACCAAGTATTGAGCTCTTTGCATTCACATCATGCTTAACATCTGACATGATGAAGTATAAATTACTTAGATAGGCTTAGTAAAACGCATACTATAAATGACTGGTATAATTCAATAAAATTGTTTGAGTGAAATGTAATGCAAAGGAAATTACAACTAAATCGACATTAATCAACCTTTTACTAGCCAAGTTACTTTTATTTAACTAAAGTAAAGTTTACTTAATTCCATATTCCAAGTAAATTTTGACTTAAGACTTCTAATTAAAGCTACTGATAAATATGTTTGAGTTTTTACTTGGCAAATCTTTGTAAATTTACTAGCATTTTCTGAGTGGAAAAAGCTTTTTTTAAGTAAATCCTACTCCACATTTTTTTCAGTGTTGGGTTAAAAATGTGATGAAAGTATTTAACCCAGTGGCTGGGTTTGTCCATGTTTGACCCAAAGTTGGATTAAAACAACCCAGCATTTAGAGTGCAGAAAGCTCTGACTGGTGACCTCTGTTTGTCTTTGTGAATGCAGTTTGGCATATGCTATAATTAGTTTTGATCCTGACTCCCTTGACAAAACAGAATAATTTTTGACATGAATGCATCAGCAATTTACGTACTGACTACTCAGCTTTGAAAGCCTGTTAGTAAACGTCTCATATCAAAGTGTAAACTGTCAGACCTCTTTTATACCTGACATGTTTTGTCATTGGCAATCAAATCAATAGAGTAGCTATATTCATGCTGGTTTCCATTACGTTATCGTTATCTAGTGGCCATATTAGGAGATTAGAACTCGGATCTCCAATGTGTGTATGAACGTGCCATATGTTTCCTTCAACCTCACCAAACCACGACATAATGGGCTATATGCACGCATAACTTCCGCATTTGACGCAAGGATGCTCGTCCATTTCCGGTTGTGGAGATTAAAGCGTAGGAAAACCAATCCGATTATGGCAGAGTCTTCAAAATTTACTGTCCTCCCGTCTTTGAAACGAAACGTTTGTACGTTTAGATCTAATTTTATATATAGTTATGTTTATTTAATATAATTTTAAAAAGAAGCATAAACACAACGAGGGGTGTCTGTTTTATCTGTTTTTGTGACTAACGTTTCTTTAGTATAACCATGGAGTATAAAATTCAATATAAATTCTCGGTATTGCATTGGACTCTACAGTCCCTCCAGGATTTCACGATTTTTTTTTGTGATTTTTGCGATCAAAATGACTGATTTTGTGGTGGTAATTTCCAAAAATTTGTGAAAAAATGTGTGATTTATATATAACATTTACCATAATAGTATTCAGTCGTTACAGAAAAACGCAGAGTTTTTTTGTGATTGTTGCGGGAAAAAATTGATTGATTACGCAGCCCGTTTTTCTTTAAAAATGCGATGGAATATGCGGGATATTTATGCAATTTTATGCAATGAAATTGAGGGAACTTGCAAAAATTGCGGTTTGATGAAAAAGAGAAAAAAAGTGATTCCCCCAATATCCTGTTCTCACTAGGCTAATGTAAGAGTCATTTCTTATTACTTCCTTTGATAAGCAAGCATACTACATCATAGAAAGTGCTGGGAATATTTAATGTCTCATCTTGTTTTATTTCAGACTGTAACGAGTGTTAATAAAGTGTGGCCCCTTTAAGAGCTGCGCGCTCCCTGTTGAACTCTCTGCAGTGTTATATGTGCGCCCAACCCGATCTCACGACCAAGTCGTACGAATTCGACGAATGATTAAAAAGTGTCTAATTCGTAACAATTCATACGACCTCACTCGTACGAATCAATACGATTTTGCTAAATCGTACATATTATACGAATTGGCCAATTCGTACGAATTAGTACGAGTGAGGTCGTATGAATTAGTACGAATTAGACACTTTTTAATCATGCGTCGAATTCGTACGAATTGGTCGTGAGATAGTGTTGGTGCGCCTCGAACACCCCATGTGTGCGGGTAATTTCTGTTTGATGCTACTTCTTTTATCTTATGTTGTTTATTAAGTAACGATGTGACGGTAGAACGTGTGACAAACAGTTATACGAGTTCGATTGTCTGTCCGTGAGTCTGTCTGGCGTCGCGTAATTGCGTCACTTCATAACGTTCCCATGGAAACAGGGGGAAATGGCTGCTCTTGTGTGAAGCAAACGCAACATTTTTCAACTTTCTGCTAAGATACGTGTGACTTTTTTTGCAACGAAAATGCGAGGATTATGAAATTATGCAAACCCCGCATATTTTGCACGGAAATCGGCAATTTATGCGGCGAAAGTGCGGCGTATTTGAAAAAATGCGGCCCCCGCATAAATATGCGGACTTTGGCTGATTTTGCATTGAATTCAGCGATTTTCTGGAGGGACTGACTCTACGATCGGCGGAAGTTATCGAGCATCCTTACGCCACACAGCCCATTAGAATCTTTTCCTATGAATCCTTGAAGTGTTTTGAACATTACATTCAGAATGAGAAAATACACCCTTGCACTTAATTACTCGAGTCTGGAGATCACCGGATAAGGACATATGATATGAGATAGAGGAAGTCTGCAAGGAGAAGATAGCACCCATTTTTGGCTTCACTGACTGAATTAATCAGCATGCAGTTCACTAGTGTAGGATAGGACACAAAAGCTCTGGAAGATGGTGGAATTGTCGTTCTGTAAAGTTATGACCTCTGCAACCTTGAGGTAGCGCTCCCATCAAACAGTTACTTAGTCAAGTTAGAGGCAAGCTTTCATTCGTTAAAATGAACACAGTTAAAGATTCAATTCTGATCAATCATCACTGATCACCTAGCGTAGATAATGAAGACGTAGCCAAGCCAGTGCCACAGAGTAGCTCGGCCGAGGTAAACCAGGAGAGAGGATGTGCACAGGATGTGCGGTAGTGTTGGATCGTTTCTTATTTCATTACAGGGAAAGCTTTATAAATTGACAGAATGGAGAGGAAGGGGGCATAGTAGTGATAATATTTGCATTTCTCCTTTTCCCCCCCGTTATCTCTCTATCTCTCTGGCCTGCCTATACCCACTCCCCCCGCCCCCACTTACTGCCGAGTGACTTTAATCATCACTTTCGCCAAAACACATTAAGCCGTCGTGTGTCCGGGGGAAAAACAGCCCTGCGCACTCCAAGCATCACATTCTATTTGCAACAATGATGCATAGCTGGTGCATTACTTTGGAGATTAAAAAGGATATGCTGAATATCAATAGAGTGTGTCTGATGGATGACTGTCCTGGTCCACAATAAAGGGACATCCAATAGACCTCCTTGGTTGGGAGGAGGTGCGTACGTTTACCAATGCAAAGCTGCTCCACACTCACACGCACACATTGACGAATGCACAAATGACAGCACAGACACTCAGACAGCTATAGCAACTGCTCAATCCTGCACTCATGTTTAGTAAAACAACACGGACGCTTAATTATTTATTTACTTTTTTGTTCGGGAAGGATAACAAAGTCGTTTGCATACATTAAACCCAGGCCAGCGGACAATGTGATTCCTCCCAGGTCGCGGGGTGGTCGTTACAGCATTGGAATGGATGGCGATGTAAAGTGCTTCAAAGTGATGGATTGAGCACAAACTGAAGGACATGAACCACAGAAAGGACTGTTAGGGTGCTATGACATTACTCCACAGCGGGATAAATGGAATTGAAGGGGGTGTGGGGGGGATAATTCCAGAATCTGACATCACCAAAAGGGTATCTCGGTCAATTTGTCCATTTGAGCTCCCAACTTGACCTGCTGCCCTTCAGAAGGCTGTACGGTTGAATGTTTGCCTAAAGTTCTCAATGTTCACCCAGGCACCCAACTCTGGCTGTTGTGTGATTGCTGAGGTCCGGCAAAAACCCCCATTCCCATCCCCATCCCCAAACCCATTCCCATGCCAACGCCCTGTGATAGCGAGCCATCAAAGTTAAAGTCCATGCCCTCTGTCGAGTCCATGAAGTCATTCAGGAGGATGGATTCAACATCGCAATCCAGACTGCTGTGGTGCACATCCATTTCCAGCTCAGACTGCAACCGGTTGTGAGGATCCTGGTGATGGTTAGCGTGCTGGTTTCCATGGTAATTAGGATTCTGTGAAGTGTGGTGGTAATACCCCTGCCAGGGTTCCGTCATGCCCTGATGGAGGTGGGAACCTGGGTAGGACTGATGGCGAGGATGGGGGGCTGAAGCCAAGCGACAGGGATCTTGGGGTACATCCAAGACACTGGCGGGGTTAGGCGGTAGGGACGTGGAAGGGAGGTGAGCGCGTGACCCGTAAAGGCTAGGCGATTTGTGGTTGTAGGGTTGCAACATGTCATTGCTCACCCTGGGGGAAAGCTCTGGTTGTCTGGAGTTGCTGTGTTGCAGGTGATTGTGCATGTGGTTGGGATTGGGATTGGGACTAGCATTGAGTTTGTGCTCATGAGATTGAACATAGTCGTGGCCGCGGTGGTGTTTGTGGGGATTGTAGTCAAGACCTGGGTGATGCTTATTATGAGCTTGATTGGGATTGTGATGATGGCTCGGGTTTTGCTCGTGAGTTACTCCGTGGCTATTGTGTAGGCTTTGGGTGGAATTGCGATTGTGCCCATGCTCCGAATTATGATTGTGATTGTGGCCGTGAGAGTGCACGGCACTGTTAGATTGTGACATAAGTGCTCCTCCTTGCCCCACAACCATGTCCTTACCACAGTATTGTGGCCCTCCAGCGAGGAGACTTTCAAGGGCATTGTTCTCCGAGTATGCCCTGAGGGCACGCTGGAAGCTGGTAGGCTTGTTTTCCTGAATCGTCTGCATAGGCGTGTGATGCCTAAGCATGCCCATGGATGGTTGGCCATAGACTGTTCCACAGTAGGAGGTCTCTCCTTTTGGTCCAGGGCCATAGTGATAGCCGTTTCGCTTAAGCGGCAGAGGCTGAGAGTAGCCCTCGTCCAAGCTGATGGCTCCGGTTAGATCGGCTAGGTGCGGGAGCTCGACGGATGGACAATGCCCGCCCGTTCCCAGGGCTGGAGATCTTGTGCTGGTCGGGCTAGGGTAGAGTCGTGGCGAGGCAGAGCAGGACAGTCCTCCTTCCTCTGGCTCGTCGGGTTCTGTCTCAGCCAGAATAGGAGACAGGCATCCGCTTAATGTCGAAGCAGAAGAACTTGTTCTGGAGTGGAGGTCCGTCCAGGCGTCAAACTCTTCACCCCCAACTCCCATTACTCCCTTACCCGCTGGGCTTCCATGTTCCGGCGACCCTTGTATTCCAGGTCCTGCGAGCTCTCTGCCCATTCCCACAGCTCCCGCTCTCTTCTTGCTGACTCGGCCTCGGCTCTTCAGGTACTTAGTCCCGTTGTCCATGGAAACAGCTCGTCTGCGGGGTCCTTTGCCCATTTTTCCACCCTCTGGGTTAAGCATCCACCAGGAACTCTTTCCCGTTCCCTCATTTTGAACACGGATGAAGCGAGTGTGTAGGGAGAGGTTGTGTCTGATGGAGTTCTGCAGAGAGAAAACAGGCAGGAAGAAACAAGATTGAGAAACAAGACTGTAGAGTTACATTTTAGGCCTGACCTATGATAACATGCTACTGCACCATATATTTGCATACTTTTTTACAGGAATGCACAGATATGTCAATAAAAAAGAAGGTTAACTAACGTTAAAAAGAGCTTATGTTGCACTTACGCTTGAACTGAAGAATTCACACAATATTATGGTAATAATGCCTGTCTTAGCGAGTATCCTAGTAAACATACAGGGGTTGGACAATGAAACTGAAACACTGGCCAATGTTGGAGGTTTCACATCTATATGCCTGGCGGCCAATCTACAGAGTGAAGCACGGGTGGTTTGAGCTCCAATATCATGACAATCCTGATTGTATTTGATGGACACGACACTGCCGAGGACTACCAAACCCTTCTGGAGGATCATGAGCACTTGATGCTCAAACCGTGTATCAGCATGATCATGCACCAACACACACAGCAAGACTTGTGACAGAAGGGTTTGATGAAGATGAAAGTGACGTTGAACATGCAAAGTCACCAGATCTGAATATTATTGAGGTGTTTTGGAGGAGCGAGTCCACCAGCATCATATAGTGACCTGGACACTGTTCTGGAAGAGGAACGGCTCATAATCCCTCTGGTCACTGTGAAGGACTTCTATCTGTCAATTGGTGCTGTATTTGGATGCAAAATGAGGCCCTCACCATTCTAACAAATTATTGTGTCGTAAAACCAGGTGTTTCAATTTCATTGTTATGTTTTAAGTGAATGTGAACAGAAATAAAACGCATATGTAACAGTATATTGGATCCATGCATTCGGTCATAAAGGGTTAATGTACAATTGTACAATGCATAATTAAGCATGAAAATAACTGAAGGAAATATATTTTTGGTAAACAAATTAAATCAGCAAACATAATTCATATTTTGCTAATGCATTGGAAAAAATCCCAAATGCAGTGAAAATACATGAGTAGCAAAAATGAAAGTATCGGTCTCTACCTCGATCTGGAAAAAGTGGTGCGTCCCTATTTATTATGATACGTGCATTGCAGAGCCAAAGCAGTCATTTTCAATGTACACATATTTTTGCACAAATTAAACAGTAATTGGAAAACCCCACTGCGGAAGAGCCCTGAAGTGTTTTAAAAATATCACTCTAAGAAATTATTTGTTTTTAAAGGTGCATTGTTCAAATCAACAGGTAATCTCACAAGAATTATGCAAATTCCTGTATAAAAAACTCAGTTCGTTGCAGGACGAGGTGAAACCCCTCTTGGCTGCTCAGGCAAATCAATTCTGCAAGCAGACCAGCTCCTGCACGGCACACGCTTTCTCTGACTCACGCTGCAGCTAGCCAAGCCAAGTCCACACGCACATCAAACCGTAGTCAAGGTTACCCAAATGAATCACACGTGGCAACCTGATCACAGACGCCTCTATCGATTGCAGTCTTGGGGAAATATGAGGGAAAGCCAGAGAGTGAGACGAGAAAGCGAGAGCGAGGCGTGATTTTGGCACGCTAGCGATCCTGGAGAAGCACCAGACAAAGGAAACAAAAACCAGAGAGAAAGACTTTAGTGATACAGATGCAGCAGAGAAATGCATCTTTTTATTTGGTGTACAACAACAGTGGAGTCAAGAATATTAATGATAGTTACTGTCTCGGATGTGAATTGGTCAATACATTGTTCCAGCAGTGCAATAACGCAACTGTGATGAAACACCTCCACAGAACTTACAGAAGCCCATTATTCATCTCAGTTATTTCACATATGTCTTCTGGATTTAATAAATACAATTTTAATGAAATTATGTGGACTTCATTTTATAAACCAATAAGATGCTCAAGGCTGTGCATTTCTTTTCTTTTCTCAAAGCATTTCTGTCTATTAATGCATTTCATATATTCACAACATAGCAAGGTCTCCCATACATTATAGCTTCATCATTTCAGAGTAAAGTTTAAAGAGTCACTCAGTGTCAATATTATGTTATCCTTTACACATGAATAGCAGCATTCAAATATATTTATTAAATGATGTTTACATGTTAAAAAAATGTGTTGCAATCAAACGTTTTTATTGAGGTTGGAATGGATTCCTTTGAAAATAGCTTATTTTTGATAAGTAAGAAGGACAGACAAAAAGAATGAGGCCAGCAACTCTGAGACAGTAAAGCATCGATATTCAAAGATCCCTCGTTCTGCTTCTCCATGTTGGATGCTCTTGTGTTCACACCATGATCAGGCCTAAAATTCATGGGACCTGGGACAATATTTATGGTTGACCCCCTTTCCCAAGATCCAGTGAATCTTATCTTCCTAGTTGTCCAATCCATGTCCATCATTCAAAGAACTCAGTGCTCAGTTTCTCTTTCTTCAGCAGGAAACCCATAATCTGTCCATCAAATTCTCAACATTATCCACGTAATGTGTTGACGTCAGTAGCGGAGTGGCAATCGGGAGAGTCGGGAGTTTTCCCGGTGGGCCGGTGGTGTTTCGAGGCCGCGAGGGCCGGTCTGATAAAATGTATTTATTAGAAGTTCGCCATGTGCACGCACTTGGTGCTCAAGCTAAGGGAAGAAAACATTTTTTTAATTTTTTTTTTAACATTTTCTATAACGGAGCATATGAAGAGTTCAGATGCAAAAGCCTCTAAGTGCCATTTGAAATTTTCTTTTTATCAAGCTTGTATATTTAAGTTCAGTAATTTCATTTAAATGGCAATGAAGATTACCTATTAATTATCATTTAAGTGAAATCACTGAACTTAAATATACAAGCTTGATAAAAATGATCATTCTAGAAGAAAATTTCAAATGGCATTTAGAGGCTTTTGCATCTGAACTCTTCATATATTTGCACTAAGTGCCTGTCTTTACAACAAAAAGACGCCCGTCTTGAAACAGCTTCAGTGGCGTAGGTCGTAGGGCGTGAAGTGCTTGAAAGCAGCTTTTTTATGCGCTGAACGCGAGTTCGAATCCGCCTTTTGCCGATCTCTCTCTTCACCCTTTTCCCAACACATATGTAAAGATGTAAAATGTAAAACCTAACATTAAGATCTCTAGCGTCATATTTTGCCAACGAACTAAAGTTGAAACCATGATATGGCGTTACGCCATTTTAATAACTGACATTAGAAAGCATCCAGTTTGTGCTGTGTGATTACTTGCTCATGCGATCGTGTTTCGTGTTTTCTCCTAAATAAAAGCTCAAGGGTTTATTTCTTGCAAGTGAAGAAATTAGGACAAAAGTATTGTAATTTTCCTATAATGTAGGTTAAATACTCACTTTCATTTACATAGCACATTTATAGGCTAAATGAATTTTACAGTACGTCATAGGAATAATTATAAATCATTATTACATTGTTATAATAAATGTTTGGTATCGTAAAACACCATTGATAATGTACAGTAATGCAGACTGAGACTCTCATAACTAAAAAGATGTTTGAGCCCTCTTTATTGTCCTGGTACAAATGAATACTTTTTCTTTGTTCAACGAGCAGCTCATGGGGTTGAAGCTCTTAATTGTGATCTCTCAGAGAGCACGAGATTGATGCATTTAACCTTAAAATGTCCAAAATTTTCTTGCGGGGGAGAACCCAACCCGAGTCCACCCAACATAGTTTTAGACATTACTATGGGAAAGAACGACCATTTATGAACTTCACTCCAACAAAGTTCCTTTAAAGTAAAAATTAAAATCGTACGAAATTTCCCGGTGGATTTTTTGGTCCCACTCCGCCCCTGGTTGACGTGTACACGACTTCGGCTTCACTCACCGCATCTTCCTCTTAAAGCAACACGTTCACACCCAACTTCACTCGGATTCCCTCGTTCTCACACTCTCTTTTCACTCGCTCTCCATTCCACAACAAATCACACCACTAATTTCATTCACCTGCTCTGACTGAAGAATAAGACAAAACAAATCTACTTCCTGTCCCTCAATCATCCACAATGCAATTACGCTTCAAGTGCGTCTATCAGCCCATCTATACTCCATAATCCCCCTTACGGAAAGCAGCCTCTTGTTTTCCGTGGTGATTCTGAGAACCATTACCGCTCACATGAGTGGTCAGATATCAGTCGCTGAAAAGAGCCAATTACCTTGGCAAAATTTACACTACAGCTGGATATCGACTGTAAAGCAGTCTAATCTTGGAGCGCGTGCTGTTTCAGTGTCACCTCACACCTGAGGGGCTAATTCTTCTCCCAACACCGCGAGCAGATTTGCTGCTTTTTGCGCCGCTCCCATTCAGAGCGGTGAGAAATTGGATAAGCAAGATGCATTTACGTCCCCTCGCCCCCCCAGGAAGGGGCTTTATCCTCCACCGGTTATTCTGCCAAATTACACCAGCCCCCCGTGTCGGTGAGAGAGCCAGATGCTTTCCGGGCCGACTTAATCAAAGCCAAATTGAAGCGCGGTGTCGCGAGCGCCGGAACGACCTGCGCGAGGTGATCTGAGCGCGACGCCCCTGACAGCCTCGGCAGAGCACGCTCTGTCGCGGGGGTAACCATGACGACCGTGGAAACGGGAAGAGAGGAGAGCTGTGTGCGAGGAGATGCCGTTTGATGCTGCAGGTAAACTGCAAACAGCCTTTCATCTCTGACAGTCAGACGACTCGCCCAACTCGCGAGAGAGCTTCAATCATGAGCAGTCACGCCGTCGCTTGAGCTGTCTCAGAGGAACAGTGATTAGCAAGTCAACTATAGGCTGCATGACTTCACAGTAGCTACCAGCACCCCGCCACTCCACAGATCGGCTCACCAAACACATCAGCTTGCGTTTTAAAAACATGACAACTCTCACACTTGAAAGGCCAAGCGTTGTCGTTTAGTCTGTAAAACCATCCACTCTTTGCCCTTAGTAGAGCACCGGGTGTTTGATGAAAGTCATGAAGTCGCAATTACTGTGGTAGTGTGGCCTGTGGTGAGCATTATAAATAGCAGGTCTGTGGTCGGGAATTTGCCCCGGATA